TTTTTTTTTTTTTTTTTTTTTTTTTTTTTTTTTTTTTTTTTTTTTTTTTTTTTTTTTTTTTTTTTTTTTTTTTTTTTTTTTTTTTTTTTTTTTTTTTTTTTTTTTTTTTTTGTATTTCTTTTTGCACTCTGGATTTGATTTTTGTATATCCAGAGTTCGTCTTATTCCGCCAATTCCTTGATGTTGAGATTTCACATATAAGCTCCTGATATCGCATTGTCTGCTCGCTGAGCGTTTTATTAAAATGATTGCTGAATGGATATCTTGGACGAGAGGATTAATTCCCTCGCTAAAGACTCAAGTAGCGAAAATAATGAATGAACTTGATTTGGCATCCGTGCGATGCAATTCTAGTGCGTGATGGAAAATAAGGCTGTGGAATTCCTCGCAAAGCAACTCGAGGAATTAGCATGTGGTGGTTTTTACTTATTTCTTGGAACAACACTCTATAAAGGCTGCTTTAACTTCCTACCTTAAGAGAAGGGCGAGTGCAACGACTGCAGGAACATTAGTTGAGGATGAGAAGCTAGTTTTGATTAGCAATCCGCGACCTGATTCAACGAGGGATGTACAGAAATTGGACTTGATTTAGTAGCTCTCAATCACAAACCAAATGGATGTCAATTGGATATGTTTAGTCGAACATGGAACATTGTATTTGAGCTAGAGTGTTTGTTCCCATGTTGTTACGTCATATAACTGGTCTTCATAAAGAGGGAATTGATTTTTTATTTTATTTTAATTTGTTTCATGATTTTTTGGAGATGGAACAAAGCGTCTACCAGAATCCAATAGAAGTTACAGAAACTCTTTCAGCTGGAACATAAAAGAGGAAGAGGGAATTAATTCCAATAGTGTACTTGGCTTGGAACAATAACACTATTTGGCTTGGAACAATAATGTTGGGTAACTTCTTAGAGTTTTTGGCTTTAGCGTCCAGTGGCTTTGGTTTTTATTAAACGGCACCGTTTATTGTATCTGGTCTAACGTTGAAAAGAGCATTTTCTGTTTACCAACCTATAGTTTCTACATTGATTGAATCAGAAAGGTGACAAGACTTAAGCCAGTAACAAGGCATGTTTATGAAGGCTCGCAACTTAATAAGCAATATAGCTATTTATTTATTACGTGTAGCTGGCTATTTTTTTCTCATGTAATTTTTCTGGTTACTTTTAACCAGGTGTCTCACATAAATTTATCATTATGTTTTTTCATCAATTCTGGGGGAAGTTTTAAGCTACGTACCTGAAGTGCTTGACTGTATTGCAGGTTTTCAAGAGTGGGCCACTTTTCCTATCATCAAAAGGTGTGTTGTATTAAGAAATAGCAAGAACTAAGGAGGATACACCATTCATATCAGACGTTTAGAACATCGATTCTTCACCATAATGACACATGTTGATTTTTATTCCTTGAAGTTGGAAAAGCTAATTCACTTACCCCCTCACGCGCGCCCACACACACAAAAAAAAAAATAAAAATAAAAAAAGAATGGAAAAACAGAAGACAGGAAAAAAAGGGAAAATGGAAAATTAACAGCTGCTTGTAAATTGTTCCTACCATATATATATACATTGTTCTTACTCCTGTAATATACTTAGTTGAATTGATATGCCTTAATCACTGTCCTTAAAATCAGGGATTGGATGGACGTCCTGGAAAAAGAGATGGTTCATCCTAACACGTACTTCACTGGTTTTTTTTCGAAGTGATCCAGTAAGTGGTTTCCTTTTTATATTTGATCATGCTTTTTAGGGCCCATTCGTGAATGTTCGTGTTATTTACTGCCGTCAGTTAGTAGCTTGATGCTGTGAGTATTCGGGAAGGAATCGTGTGTAGGGATAGTTAGTTATCATTTAGGTAACGACCTAGAGTCAGTAGAGTTATAACCCTCTGAGACGGCTGCCTCTACGGTGAAGACCACCATCTTCACAAATTTTGTTATTTCCATATTTGAATATCCTCTTGGGTATTTTGTTTCTTGTTTTAAAAAAATTCATCTTGGATACCTAACATCTTGTTATAGTTATCTTCGAGAGTAGTTCTATAGAGATATAGACAATTGGATTTCAACTTATTTCTTTTGAACTTAAAGATCGAAAAGAGGTAGCTTTACTGAAGGCGTAGATTTATCTTTTCATCTTTGTCCCGAGTCTGATTTTGAGTTCCATTTAACTCTAAGTGATTTAAAGCTAGCCTCATGATCTTGTTTCAAGTAGGAGGATGAGACACTTGGAGTTACTAGTTTGTCTGTCACATAAAAACAACCTGAAGCTATTTTAATATGACCTTTACTCTGTAATTTATATGCACATGATACATGTGTATGATGTACTCTCTGCTATGATTGATTGTTTTTCTTTTTAACTTCTGAATTTTTGAGTTTTGAACTTTTAGTCTGACAGCTGCCCTACCTTTCAGAATGCTGTTCCTCAGAAAGGGGGTGAGGCGAATTTGACTCTCGGTGGCATTGATCTCAACAATTCAGGCAGGTTAGCTTGTTTTCTGAATTTAGATGGTACTTGCGTTAT